CTTGACGAGGACGAATCTGCAATTTCTGTAGACCACCTGCCCCATAAGTGGAATCCCTCTGATAGAGATGGTACTTCGGGCCCAGCTTTAGAGTACGCCTCATCATCAATTCAACCGCGAATTTCGTCATCTTTCCACGTCGGCCTGCGAAGAGAGGCCCCCCTTCACCAGTCCAACAATTTCCCCCAGAGCGCTGTCAACTTTCGCCTCACCCGACCCTCTGCCCGAAGGCTGCTGGGACCACCCCGTCCCTCAGCGGCCAGAGGATTCGACTGCGTCTCCTCTCGATGCTGGGGGAGTTCAGCACGGTTCGAGTGTGATTCCCCTTGAGCAGTGTTGGCAGATGAACGCTCATGATGATTGCTTTTTCTCTGAAATCTCTCCTTGATTTTCTTCAGCCATCTCTCTTACCAGTTTTCCAATTCCTAGTGCTCATACTGGTGAGACGACAAGCACTGAAACTTTCCCGGAATTTTTATCTCCATCAGCAGACACCAATGCTTTCGATCAGCATCTCCGCTCTCCTTCCTTGTCATGTGTATCAATCTCGGACGATGGACACGGTGAACCTTACGGGCGAAGGTTTACTGATACCGAACAAGACCCAGGCTGTGATATCGCAGCAACATCGACTGAGAGCAGCATCGACCCAGGTCTAGAGCATTCATAACGGAGAGGGAGAACTCTGCATTGAGTAGCGGACCGCTATGGTGACTTGCAGGAGTCTCGCGGACAGTCTCGCGGGCGGCTGAGCCTACGAGTTGCAGGATTAAACCGGCGCTCTTCACGGTGATTTTCATCCTGTGAGAGATGAGTCATTACTCATTTGCCTTGGGCAGAGCAACTAGCTAATACACTCCTGGTTGAGCTTATGGCCGAAGGACTGTGCTTGAGAAGTTGGAATGATGGTCTCGATATGGCTTCTTCGTCGTCGGGCTTGGAACCTTTCAAGGATGGTCGAGGAGTCTGGCACGAGTCTGGCCTTGAGTCTTACATTCCGGAGCGATAAGGAGATAGATACGGTACTGTAAGTCTACTAGTCTTTCTCTTATAGTAATACCGCCCACTACTGGATTCGACTCTTTTAATCACACGCTTGTACTTATCTAACGGAAGGGCATCATGACCCCTTACGACGATATATCGACCGCTGGGAATGTCAACTAATCCGGTATATGATCCTGTATCCGCCGAGCCATCGGTTCTGACCTTGCTCGTCCAGGAATGTCGAGGATTAACAACCTAGAGTTTAAATTCCTCTGACTTCTTCACACTAATCTTATATTATACTTAGACTGGGTAAAACATAGTCTATGGGACCAGTCCCTACTACGTCATGCAAGCCCTCTGTCTACCATCCTCAGATCCTGATCTCCAAAACGTACCTTTTTATTGTTCATTGGCCATATAGTATCCAACGAAAGATAGGTAATTCAGTTGCCTTTGATATTAGATTGCTCCACCTCTGAATCTGTACTATGATACCCATGCAACTCGTCGTTCCAATGTGTTCCTGGTTGTCTGCGATGATGTACAAACTCCTTATGGGCCAAGCGTCGTGCATTTCGCTCTAAACGACGGTAAAGCACGCTTAAGTGAAACATGTAAAAGCTCAAAATAACCTCTCAGGACTTCCTCAATAGTCTCGACAGCACAAATTCCCCCAACTGGACATTCATGGAGATACAAATAGGCACCATGGTAGTGGACAAGAGCTCACTCTGGAATCAGAATGTTTAATCCCCTCGTTGCCGTTGATAGCCTGGCAATGTGCGACCTGAATAGTTGTTGAAGATTCAGTTCAGATGCCCTCCGACGTGGGATGATAGGGAGAAAGATCATTTCTTGGTCATCATTGTAAATACATTTCGGAATCTCCCTCTGAGAGGGTGTATATATATGTGCAGGACGGAGCCATGATTGTGAAGACAATAACAACGAATTAATGGAAAAACATCTCGAGCCTGAGCATAATCTCATATCCTCAACAGCTCTTTACCCTGTTTCTCTTTATTACTTATAATTGTTCTATCCCGTCTAACTAACTGCGGAACTCTCTCAAATGCGCTTTCGTCACCCCATTCTAGATACTTTGCTGCCTTCCAGATATTGTCGTTATCTGCTAGAAATTCATTCCAGTGCTTTTTCTTCTGTTGTCAAATGGCGTCATGATACTTCTTTAGGCGGCTCTTGCTGTCTCCTCTAGGCTCACGACGATTTGCCCTGCCCAGCGCTCGCTCCGGGCGCGGTTTCTCCAGTACGTGTAGATACGCCGTGGTTATGTCAAATCGGTCTTTCACCATCTCTTGGTGAAGGGCAAGGGCCGAGCCTTCGGTGTGAGGGCATGCACGGTCTTTAGCACGGCTGGCATCAACATGCCTGTCTTGATCTGTATAATTTCTTCGGATGGCCTGGTATTCAACGTCTTAGTGATTCGGGCATTAATTTCCTTTCATAGTTTGTTCTTGAGTAGAAGTCGTTCCTGCCGCTTTGATGTTGAGACCGAGACGTCAAAGACCGTCTCTATCGCACGGTGATTAGATTCATATTTGGTCCCATATATCGCACATTTAACGATCGATGCAGTCAGTTCCTCGGAAATTAGGACCAGATTAATTGTGGTTTCGTATTTTCCCTTCGTGCTACGTCTTCGTTCCACGTCGGAGTAAGCTACTAAGGGCGAGATCGCTTATTAGGTCGATGATCTCATCAGCATCGCTCTGTCTCTCTAGAGAAAGGCCGTCTCCTCCTCAGAGCTGGTCATGTCGATTGAAATCTTCCGCAATCACTATGTTTACCATAGCGTCTGTGTCTCTTCTCACACCTGTCACGGTCTTGCGCAGGCTGTCGCATATCTCTCGAAGAGTCTGCGGGTCTTCTCCTAGTACGTAGACCGACGCGATTAGGATCAAACGATTAGCGAGCCTGATGACTGCTGTCGTTATGTTCGGGGACTTCATCCGTACCTGTTTCGCCTGTCTCTTTGTTAACCCACAGTATGCTACGAATTGGCCATCTCCCTTCTCTCCATAAGCCAAAAGGGGCTATCTTAGTCCATTTGTGATAACTCGTAGGTGTCGTTAAGAGTCGGCCCAGGATTCTCCGTGCATGACATCCTTGGATCGCTAGGATCGTCGTATCTTGTATCTTCTCGTCATTCATCAGACTGTCGTGTATCTCGCCTTGTTATCTCACATTAAGCTGAATCATATAAAACGTTCTACTCATGTTAAGATAGGTAAAGCTTTCGACAGTTTCGGCTGAACGATTCGTGTGATTCTCTACACGGGACACAATCATGACGAGCTCGGTGCATTCACTATGGCGATAGCCTCCCTCGACGCACCTCGCGTAGTTCTGGGCGTTCTTGCTCTGAAATGCCTTGTGATCGAGCTCCTGACAATTGAAACACTGCTCCGGGCGGGGCCGTCGTTCGAATACTTCCGTATAGCCGGACTCTCCCGCGACATAAAAGAAACCCTCTCGCAGAAGGCGACTGACGTCGCTATCTTTCGTGAGGTATACGACTATAGAACTATATGCCTTGACGACGTACTCAGCCATGCCACCTTTGTCACCATTATTTCGTTCTCAAGGCTAAAGGACTCTGCTGCTCCGGTCCGGATCTCTCCATTTTCGTCCAAGACCGCTAAGCGGTTGACATTGTTCACCTTGATCGGGTAGAGTTCGTTCCTTAGGACTCTGGTGCCGGGGCAGTCTTCCTCTCTGCTATTTGCTTGATTATCTGTTGTTCGTTTTCGCCCCTGCATGTGATTCTAACTCGGCTCGTGTTTCTGGTATCTCTGGTCACTACTCGGCAGCGCCAATTGTCTTGTTCACTCGTGGCACGTATCTCTTTTTCCACGGCCGCTCTAATCGCACCTGGTGAGGTCTTATCGGTGTCTTCTTCCGCCACTCTTGAGGTGTCGATCACGCAGTAATGCGTATCCGTGGTGGTCGAGGGGCGAAGGGGCCGTCTCGCGTTGTGGTTATCGGTGAAGGCCGTATTGGTCTGTGTGAGTTGCGGGGGCTCTGCTTTGGTGCCCCGCTACAGATGTCCATGATCGCGTGGCAGGAGGGGACGCGGTGATGGCACTGACTTCCGACTATAAGGAATAGGTTCGCTGATGTAGTTCGGCATTTTGTCTCGTGAGATTCTGCGTTCTTCTTTAATATCCGCAAGGTTAGCTCGAATGACCTCGATAGTATTGTTCTGCTTCTCGATGAGGCTGATCTGCTGCGTGATGGTTTTCTCTAGGTTCAGGATGACCCTCACGAGCTCGTCGAATTTCGTGCCTCTTCCCTCGCTTTCGCTGGCAAACTCGAGTCCGGTTCTCCCTTCATTGCCTGTGAAGGTGGTGTTGTTGTTCCCTTGTTTTTCATACTCTCTGGTGAACGTCCTGTGTTCTGCTCGTGGTGGTGTGCCATTGATTTCTGGAGCACCTCTGCGTCGTGGTGTCCGTGTCCAGAACCCGTCTTCCTCAGCCGCCACCGTAATTGTCTTCAGGTCTTAGTCATCGTCTCTGTTCTGTTGAAGCACCTTCGCACTGGGTTCTCTCGCTCTGCTCGAGGGTGCTCGTTGTCGCTATGTTGTCACCGGCGCTGCAGCGCTGCTAGATCTCCCGGCGACGCGTCTGATGAACGGCCAACGTAAGTGAGAAGATGAGAATTCTCCCTTGTCGATACAGTGACATGCAAAACGGGATTCTACAGTTGAGTATAGTAGTCGCTATTAATTGCTTACAGTGACGGTTAAAAGCTATACATTTCCATGTTGATCTTTTTGTTAATATAGCTTGTTAATATAGCTTGAACACAACGACAAAAAGTTCTCTAGTTGTTCGCCAACCTGTCAATCCAAAATGGAGCCTCAGCAAAGCAATAAATCCTCCATACCGTCAGGATACCACTGGATCAATACCGAGATCCAGAAACTGGACTTTGAAGTCGACTACGAGACTATATAGCGTTTAATGACCAGCTCCCGTCTCTCAGACTTCATGAACAATCTCATATACGCCCTAACATTTCCTAATTTTATCATCACAGCATGGGACTCAGAGGCTGTCTGGCGGGTGGACGGTGGCAAAGTCGTGCACAAGGGAGCAGGGCGTGTAGAGGAGACGGAGAACAACAACATGACATGGTGGTACTATGGTCCCAGCGATGAGCGGACCAAGCCGTCGACGATATCACAAAGGGCTTGAATGCTGCGCTAGCAAATACCCAGGAAACTTCAAGGTCGTCGAGGGTTGCATCTACACCTTGGCGTTCAGAGCGATCCTCATGCACCGACTGCGTCTCCGCCTAGGCTTTGCAGGCTTTTCGATCACGGAGAGAATTGCAGCTCACCATTTCTGACGGGACATGTCGACGCTATTTTATGCCGAGAACAGCGCTCCATTGCAAGGCTTCCCCTCCGATTTCGATGGCTGTATCACCTTCTGCGAGGAATCTGAGGGTTGGGACTGGCCTTTTCCGGAGAAAGGAAAGGCCATCGCCATGGCCATCTACGAACAGTTTGCGTTTCGGTGTTTCCCGCCTCTCCTACGTGGGATAGGGAGATCACTGCCGATTGCGCTGTCGCTGGAGTCAACACTGAAGACTCTGCACATCGAGCCTGTCAACTGCGTCTGGAAATGAACTGTGGCTACGCTGTTGGGCTGGTTTTTGTGGATTGGTGAGACACTGCTGCCGGCATCCAAGGGTGCCATGTATCAAGGTACTCGAGGAGCAAGATGCCGAGAGGAAGAAGGCGAGGAGATAGGGCTTCAAGGTTGTGGACCACGCGTTTGCGCAGGACTTTACAATGTTGGAAATTGTAGGGAAGCTTCTAGTATGTCACTTCGATGTATATATACTTCTACTTCCTTAGAAAGTAGAAGATGAAAAAGGATAAAATCTATGCTTCCACTGCCATAATTCACAACAGATTACGGCGATAGAAATTCTAACACTGCGGTGAGGTCCCTGGGTTTCTTTCATACCAAGATTTGGTAAATTTATAGAACCGCAATCTTGCTTTGTCTCGAGAAACCGTAGGGCCAAGAGTCCACCTTTACGTAGTCCGGTGACTTGACCACTAGTTGTGTCGTGAACACGCAGGGCGGTAAGCGACTTACTACTAATTGCGACGGAAACGCGGCAAATTTCATCCGGGGACACATCGGCATAGTCTCTCCCGGTGTCAGTCGAACCAAGATTGATTTGTAATGTGTAGTACGGTATGCAGCAGGTGGACACACCGCAAAGACCAATGGGGCTTGCCCCCACATGTTTGATTGTCAAGATCCCACGGGAGCAGAACTAGAGTCAGCGCCGGGGAGCGGGGAGGAAGCTTTGGCAATCCGTGGAGGGCTGCATTCTACAGCCAAGGCTCTTTGGAAGACTGCATAAAGTCTCTCGATCCAGGCATCCCAAGGCCGGTAACTCGATTACAACTATCGCCGTTGAAGAAACAGAAAGAAAGGGTTAATGGCAATGGCGTTCAATTTTGACGAATGTCAAGCACAGACGTGCATCGTCAAGCGCGGCTTTCTCTACAACTATTACGATGTCACGCCTCCACTGAACCAATACAGCCATATTCTGCTGCTTCTCCACGGCCACGGCGACTTCTCCTACGGTTGGCGCGACGTGATCCCGGGCTTACTCGCACATCACATTCGTTGCATCGTACCAGATATGTTGGGTTTTGGACAGACGAGCAAACCGCATGAGGTCGAAGCGTATAGACTGAAAGCTATGTCGGAAGACATGTCGGAGCTCCTGAAGCATGCCGGCGTCATTGGAAGAAAGGTCTCGACACCCTAAAAGCCCTTATGAGACTAAAACTACTTGCTAAACTTTTAGGTCGTCGTTGCTGGTCATGACTGGGGCTCGCAGCTTGCTTCGCGGCTCACTCTACATCATCCTTCCCTAGTTTCAGCATGCGTCAGCATTACTGGGATGTACATACCGCCCATGCCGTCACCACTGACCCTTGGGGCCTTCACCGACATGTTTCCCAACTTTTCGTACTGGCACTTTTTTGTCTCTCCACAGTGCCAGATTCTCCTTCGTACTCGGATGCCAGTCTTCTTCAATGCGGCCATTCGTACCGGCCGTGAAGTCGCTTTGTCCATGTCCGAGGTTGAACAGCGTATCTCCACCGAAGACGCCCTGACCCCGGAACATTGGAAGGTCCGACCGGCCCTGTGGGACGAGAACACCCTCACCAGATACACTCACACCTATATGCGTGGCGGGTGGGAGGCGCCAATGAACTGGTACCGCGCCTTCTTCGCCAATTACGAGGATGAGAAGCATTTCGTTGCGGATCCACGGATTCATGTACCGTTTCTCACCATCCTCGCCGACAATGATCCTGCTGTCCCTTCTGAGAGAGGAGAAGATTCGATGCCATTGCTGTCGAATGGAAAATTGGTCATCATGCCCTGCGGGCACTGGATCGGACAGGAAGACGGCCAGGGACTAGCTCGCATAATCACAAAATGGCTTGATGATACTAGTCAATAAATGACGAACGAGCCCGACAGCACTACTCCGTACATCTGCAACTACATGATGTCAAGGGGACCACTCTTCTGACTATAAATAGATTCTGGGGTCTAAGATTAGAGCATTACCGCTGAACCACGTGGACCACTTCTCGGAATGACATCTACAGCACCGTGCAGCATAGCATGACCACATTTCGAGACCTATGGCCCTGGAGGGTACGTCTACCGAACAGTGATATTGGCCTTTGGCCACTTCACTGCTCCGATGCCCATGGTCACGTGTTTTGCACCAGGACACCTGTTTGTCTCGTGGTACAGCGCAAAGATGTGGGCAAAATTTTAATATCATGAGGAGCTCTGGCTTCAATGTGCGTTACTCATCCTCCTTCTCATTTGTCTATATTTCAAATGATACCAAGCCTGACGAAAGAGTTCACGAGCGTTTTAGGCAGGAAGATTTGCTGATTCTGGTCGTCCAAACAAAGCCTATAATAGTCGCATTTGCCCCTTCGGCAAACGTAATGTACTCGGACAGTCTTTTTATCTGCACCAGAAATCTGTGTCTTGCTAGATACACCACAGCAACAGGCTGGATTTGTGGGGTCATTGCCGCGAGTGTTGGCGAAGCAATGGAATTTCGGCAAGGTTTGCATATATAGTATGGTCGGCCAGCATTCCCTTTGCGATTTGAGGCTTTGGTAACATCCCATTTGGTGGGTTTGCCAAACTTGATACAGTCGGGCGCAACAGTGGGAGGAGGAGATAGCGAAGCACCGAGGGCTGGGTCTAGAGCCTCGTTCCTTGTAGGTACTTTTCTGCTACTGCTCACTTAGCGGCGTCTCAAAGGCATCGGGATCCATACCAGAGCTTTACGGCGGGTAGTGTTACCCCTGGGGTTTCTCGTGAAATGAACTAATTCGTACTTTGACGGTGCGAAATCGGATCCATGTTGTCGTGCCCATTTGTCGGCTTTCCGATGAACGATCTTGAGGGTCTTACAATTATGTTGTACCGTCGGGCCTACTGCCAGGATGGAGGCATCGTCGATGTATCCTACGGTCTCTGTGTTCTCGGTCTTACATGTCTCGATGAGATCGGCGTTGTAAAAAAAGGTAGAGTATTGGCGAGAGTGGTGATCCCTGAGTTGTTAATGTGATTCTTCAAGTGTATCTATTGACCTACCGTATGAGCTTCTAGGTTCTTATATACATGTAGATGGTCTAGTATATAAGAACCTAGAAGCTCATACGGTAGGTCAATAGATACACTTGAAGAATCACATTTACAAGTCAGGGCTCACCACTATCACCGATTCTATTCCTCTTCTTCAACGCAGATCTGGTTCAGACACCCATCAACAAGACACGAGGGGCCATCGCGTTCGTGGATGACTACAATGCCTGGGTCGTGGGACCCAGTACGCGGGCGAACGTCGAAATGGTACCAGCAGAAGTCGTCCCTCGTGCAGAGGCGTGGGAAGTTAGCCGCGGAGCGGAGTTCGCACCTGAGAAGACGGCCCTCATCCACTTCTCCCGCACGCGGCGAAGGGTCCAGATGCTGGGTCGCTACTGATCCGAGGGGTTGCAGTGGAGGTCGTCATCGCAGGTTAAAATCCTGGGAGTGCTCATGGACCAGCGACTGCGATACCACGCCCACGCCGGACGGATGGCAAAGAGGGGCCTCCGCGCCGCACAGGCGTTGAGGAGGCTGCGAGGACTACAACCGAACATGGCGCGACAGCTGTACACCTCGATGGTAGCCCCGGTGGTCGATCTACGCGTCGCCCAAATTAATCACGGCAGCGGAACAAGGACAGCGCCTCGGGACCATGACGGTCACCGCGGGATTCAAGACGGTATCGTTGGTCGTGGCCGAGGCCGAAGCCGCACTGGAGCCGGTCAATGATCGCTGGGCGAATCAAGTCCGCGGGTTCTGGATCGACTTGCACACCTACCCGCCACACATCCGCTTTGGCGGGTGAAGAGAGCGAGCGAGCAAGATCAGCGGCGTTTCGTATCTCCCACGCGGACAAGCGGAAAGGTGATGGCGGGCCTAGGCGAGGAGCGGCTGGAGCGCATTGAGCCAGTCTGTATGTCGCCATGGAAAACCCGAGCCAGCGTAAAAATCCTAGGACGAGAGAAAGCCGACGTCGCAGCCAAAAACCCGGACCTGGAGAGGACCGTCTTTACGGGAGCGTCCGGTCGAAACGGCAGAGTGGGAATCGGCGTGGTATACTTGGGCTCTCGGGCACATCGCATGGTCAGCAAGACCCTCGGATCCACGACGTCGATCAACGCCCACCATGGCGAATTGGTGGCCCTGTATGAGGCCTGCCGCATGGTGGATCAACGCTGGCCCGATCAGGACACCGACCCAAGAACACGGGTGCGGATCCTCAGCAGGAGCCGCTCGCGCTGGAGGTACTTGCGAATCCGCGGCAACAGTCAGGACAATGCATTGTCCGAAGATTTTACGAGCTGTTTGGCCGTCTCGCAACATCGTGGAAGCCACGGGTGGTCTTCGAATGGATCCCAATTGAACCTGCGACCGCTGCAGTGGACTGGCGCAGAAGCTGACTCGGAGAGTAGCACACCAAACCACCAGATACCGACAGCGACGAAGTTAAAATCGACCACTAGAAGGAAGCCGCAAGGAACCCCTGATGAGCAGAGGAATCATTTCGAGGAGCTGCCAAGTGGCCGGTCCACGAAACAGCTCGATCGAGCTCTCCCGAGCGAGCACACCGCAGGCTCTATGATAACCTCACTCTTGACGAATCGCAAATATGGGCTCAACTCCGAACGGGGAAGAACCGACTCAACAGTGTCCCTTACAGGATCAAAGTGATGGACTCGAATCAGTGTACATGATGCCGCCGGCCCGAGACGGTCAGACACTTCCTGACGGAGTGCACGAGTTGGACCTTGCAGCGCCAACAATATCTTCAGGTAACCACGCAGCGGTGGACGGACGTGTCATTCCTCCTGGGAGGGTGGACAAAGGAAAGAGTGGACGGAGCGCTCAAGAAATGGAAGCCGAACATGGAAGCAGTCAGAGCAACGATCCCTTTTGCGAAAGCCACCGGTCGATTGCAGCTCAGCCCTGAACAAAGAAGATAACCCTATGCAGGAATGGAACGAGCCCACACTTGGCAGTTCCTGTGCCGATGAAAGAGCAGTAATACCTAAGAATAATAGTCTTGAGGGCGAAGTGTAAAGCTCGTAAGGGTATCTCAGCAGTTGCGGGTCGTATGCCGCCGAAGGATCAACAGCAGGAAGTACTATGAACCAGGACGCTCGCGTGCAGGCCACGTGAAAATGGCCAGTCCCCATTAGGCTTAGCCCGCGTGGGTGCAAGAAAATTAATCAGTTAACCAATCGCCCGTCCCTCCGACCTTCAAGGAACCTAGTTCGCAACAGTATACGACCGAGGGTGGTGACTCTAGGTTCGTTCAAACAAGGCCGATTCAATTGGGTATTCTGCGTTGAACCTTCGTCGAGCGTAGCATCTTGGTCCGGACACGGCGGATATCTGCAAGATTGCCTGTGTCTGAAAACTTCTGGACAACCATAGTTTTCTTGATTGTTCGAAGCAGAATTATGTTCGAGCTGACTCTGTTACCTCTAATCGGACTACTCTAGGACCAAGCCCAGAAATTTCTTTGCTCCAGGTCGCTTACCTTAGTCAACGGTCCTGTCGTCAACCTCGGCTCCACTGATCCTGCCCGCTAATATATTCTGTTTCCGTGTGTGCCAAATCTCCGTTTGCTTGTCATTACACAGCCTAGGTCTTCCACACGCATTGTAAAGCTGGTCGTGATGGAATCTTTGCACCTCCTCCTTTTCAGCGTGCCGTGAGACCGTGTCCCACAGAATAATCTGAAGGTGGTTGCTCCGATAGTACGCTTGCTTGAAGGAATAGATCCAGCTAATCAGTACGAGCTGTTTCTCATTCGGAATGGCCTTGATGTCTTCAATGTATGCGAAATTGTCTTCGTCATTCGAGTCAACCTCGTTGCAAAGTCTAACAGCAATGGCATCGCCCCTCTTAAAAATCGTATCCTGTAGCTTAAATTCAGACAGTGATTCGAGGTCATGCCAGCGAGAAAGTGCTTTCTGAAGTGGCTTAATAGTGTATTGTTTTAGGCTGCGACTGAATTGTATATCGAAGAAACGAGTCTGCTCAGTGAGTTCTTTTTGCAGTGGCAACTCTTCATTTCGTGAATTTGCCTCTTGCCTTCCTGCCTCCCACGGTGTTGTCCCTTGAAGTCTTTGCTCTTCGGGCGTCTCCTCTTGTGGCTGAACTTCTTCTTTGGTGACCTCATGGTTTTGCTTCTCTGCGCGGAATTTCTGTGGGAGGTTTCTGTGATCCATTCGCCGGCAATCGACTGGCGAGAGCACTTCCTCATTCTTTTCTTGTTCATCCTGTAGAGGGAAGATGTCGGCTTGGCGCTCCTTATCAACTGCTTCGTCTTCGTGCGGAGATGTCTCGTCAATCGATTGGGCCATTGGCTCTGTTGTGGTTGTGTTTTCGCCCGAGAAACAAACGCTGTGACCTGCTGGTGGAGTTTTTCGTCTTTTCGTCTCTTTCTTCTACTGCCATGGCTTTAGGTGATTTCAAGACTGTACTGTTACTATATTTATTTTTGTCTCCCTCTGTCAATTTCAAAATAGATAATCGGGGCTCCTACTTCACAATGACTGAGAGACATTTGTCAGGACTAGTGCTTACTCCCCCGCAACCACACACTCTCACACTCTCACATTTCATAGCATACCAAAGATCATGTCGATGGTCACCACTTGAACAGTGAAATTGAACACTGTTGACCCTAAGCCCCAGGATGACGTCTTTGTGCTCGCACAGTTACAGTACCTAAGCTGTGGAAACAGTCGACGCTTAGTTCGAGCTCACAGAAATATTCGGACCGCAGTTGAGTATCTGAAAGGTCAGAGAAGACCACGAAATTTCGTGAAGGCAGCCTGGCACAGGGCATTGGCAATCTCCCGGCAAGTATTCATTTTCTTGAGTGCCTCATTCACGCATCATCACCTATTACGCAAAGGCCAATACACATGTCAACAATTGATTGATCTCCTTACACGAGATCAGAACATGATTAATCAGCACCCAGGCTTATCGTCTCTCAGTACACAGTACTTAGATGACCTCATACAGCTAGTTGAGGCAGATTTGTCTCATAATCCAGAACACACCCGGCGGTTATGCCGACGAGTACCAGAAACAGAGACCAATTCTTCAACGCAAAACGTACCTTCAGAACCGCCTGAGACGCTCGTACATAATGATAAGCCGAATGTATCGTCATGGCTGGACTACTTCCGCAGTGAGCCAGCATTCCTAATACACCTGGCTCCCGATTTCGACCTGTCGAAGCTGAGGCTGCTGGCATCCGCCACCGACGATCTGCAAGCCTTATGGAGGAGTCACACAACGCGTCTGCCGACGATTGTGCCGGCAGCGGCATGCTGGCGCGGGCTGCAACCTTCCTTTGAACAACTCTGGGTCGAATCGGTGAAGATCAAAACACATGGTAGGTGAAGAGACCTTATTGGGTCAAAAGAAGGCTAAGGACAAGATCTTCGGGTCTATGAACAGGGTGAACAGTCAGCTAACGCCGCGCTCGCGTTCTGGCAGCTGGCGAGGCCGAATCAGGACAATCCCATCTGTATTATCGGGATGGAGCCTCCAGCATTAATACGACATCGAACATTTGGAGGTTGTGCTCAACTTTATCAACAAGTGACCACGTACCTTGAACAGCGAATGGTGTTTAATATGACGCCGAAATTCTCGTTCGTCGACTTGCATATAGGTATGATTATCTGCATCGATCAACGGGCCTTGCGCTGATCAAGGCAACAGACTATGGCAAGGATGGCATCTCCGCCACTTTACACGAATGCGAAAAAGTGTGGGTGATGTATCCTCCGACACCTCACAACCTGCAGTGGGTGGCCGAGCACCGGGGCCAGCAAGCCAAACTAGCACAGGGGATGGCGGTCTTGGAAGGGGGCGTAGTGGCACACACGACTTCGGCGGAAGCGGTCTACCTACCGGCGGGATGCTTGCATGCTGTCTTCACCGTTGCCGGTGGGTTCCTAGTCTCGATCGATTGTACCACTCAGAGGTCAGTATGGCCGTTTGCACAATACCTCCGTCATAACGTGCAAGCAGAGCTAGAGGCCGACGAACAGCGAAACTGCTATTTTCTCTTTATGGATTCCCTCGACGTGGCGCTGCAGAATGCTGGGGAGAGGGATGCATTCCGTGCATGGGTCGCGGTTGAACATCTCCTCCAGATGAAGAGAAAGAAGGACGGAGGGTGGCTTCGAGCTACACGAAAGGTGTGGGATGGCTATCTGAAGGCTGACCCGATCATTGATCTTGAATGTCCCTGCCATGGTGCAGCCAGCTCTTTCTTCCTTGAACATTTCAAAGATCGGCATCTACGTTGGCTATTCAATGATGCCGCGGAGAGCCCTACTGAGCGCAACTCAAGCACTAGATCTGGAACCAGCAACATCAGGAGAAAATGCGCCACGGAAAAGAGGCGAATTTCACGTGGATGAATGACCAGGAGATTAGAGTCGTTAAGAGCAATGACCTGCAGAATAGCAATGGACCAGTAAAAAGTAGAAGAGTGAGTCAACAGCGTAAGATCAAAGGAGGCTGGGTAGGATAGAATCATTTATAGGGCTGTCCTTTGTCACCACGCTACATTCTACGCCAATGTCGCCCAAGATTGGCCCAGTGGTCTCAAAGAAATTGACTCCCTCTCCTTGAGGACAGGGTTTCCGTTTTTCGCAATGCCGCCCTGAAGAAGACAGTGTTTTTCATGTCAAATGTGCACAGCAACCATCGTCGAGTTGACCCAAGAAATTGTCATATTCGCGCCCTCGATGTTGGATTAGAAGCGGCTTCACTGGCCATTGCGACTGTTAAGCATAGGTCATAGGCAGAAGAATATTAAAACCATCAAGACTTTAACCTTCTATAGTATTTCGTAAAATCTAAATACGAAGGATGCTCTATATAGATGGCCCGACTGTGTGTATGGTCTTGATCGGTGGTCACTCTACCTAAAGATATGACCATTAGCCAAATTACTAGAAGCATTGCGAGTTTGTCTTTGCCGACACAAAGAATGAAACTGACAAATTTGAACTTGAAAAATAATACTCTTCCAGGATAGCCGTGGAAACCACATCCTCCTCTCGGAGACGATCCGCCTTGGCCACAACGATTACGTGGGCCTGATTGCTGGGTTGAAAGGCAGCCTCGTGTAACTTGGACAGAAAATGTGGAAAACATCCTGTGTGACGGGTCAGGAGATCGTACCCGAAGGTGGAGGCTAACAGGACGACATAACGGCATGAATTGGAGTTCGAACATTGCAGTGTACGTTCTAGTAACTTGATTACAGTTCTTTCTGTCTGTCCATTCCGGCATCCTGTTTGTCCAATCAAGTTGCGCACGGGACGAGGCGATTGCTTGAGTGCTTGAGTGTGAAAGTGCTTGAGTGTGAAAGTGCTTGAGTGTGAAAGTGCTTGAGTGGAGAGTGTGAGAGTGAGAGAGGCTATCGATATCCAAAACGTATGAGTATGATAGAGAACGAAGTTGACTACGAAGTAAAGCTACGTAATGACCGTGGTTATATAGTCCGGTTTGTCAGAGCCGCATTGTTGCATTGTGTTGAGGATATGAGATTATGCTCAGGCTCGAGATGATTTCCATTAATTCGGTTTTTTTTTCACAAACATGGCTCCCATGCTGCACATATATATACACGCTCTCAGAGGGAGATTCCGCAGGCTGGAACGTATTTACAATGATGACCAAGAAATGACTAATCCTCCTCCTTGTCATCTCCCACATCCGAAGGTGTCTGGATCAAATCTTCAACACATTGTTGCATTGCTGCATTGCTCCATTGCCGCATTGCTCCCAATGCGCCAAAGTGTTAGACGGCCTAGGGTCTCATCGGCGGCGTACTCCGCCAGATACCTGTCTTTACAAATCGAGACAATGTCTTAGACACACTCTTTGACAGCCCCATTTAGACACTCATTTTGCTACTCCCTAGGTCTAGTTGACAGGCGCTTGTTTTAGGCACCCGACGACGCCTAGGATTCATCTTTCTAGGCTTGCATGCCGCGGCGAGAAAAGCCTCAACTAGAGGGAGAAAATCCACTCCTTTTTGCTATATAAACAGGTAGTAAACCGCCTCATAGTCATCGAGGTCAGACTCGACAATACATCATATTGGACCCCCGACTATAGGCTTGCCTAGAGGTTGCATCTTGCCTATAGGTTGCACCCCCGTTTGACACAAAGTGATAATGCGACAATGCAGTCTCATAGTCACGTGATTCTTTCTCACTCAGCCTTGCTGCCGAGGCTGGCTCCCGGCATAATTTCCCTCCTCTGTTAGCGCCGTGTGAAGGTCGATTCGTAACAAAAGCTAGTCTAATGGCTTCTATTGCAGAGAGTCACGGGCGGCGGGCGGCGGGCGGCGGGCGGTGATAGTGTAGGGATTGACCGGGCAGTCTATTCTCTACGTAGTGCTATTCAACAGGCAGGACGTGCTTGATACTAGGACAGGACGTAGCTCAAGGAGCAAACAGAATACAGGACGCGCGACGCGTATATCTGTCCTCGGCACACCTTCCTACGCAGAGTCGGGAAACCTTGCCGACCCCGCACCGTGACAGATCGCCGTCAATATATTAATAGCATTGAAGGCTTATCCCTACGACCCTTCACTAAATTGCTAGGGTGCTCTGCATAGGAATTCCAGATTGTTTTAGTAAACACGTAATCGACATTAAGAATTTAAAAATCCACGTATATTGGCTGGTGTGGGTACAAAGCAGTTGTTTAACTTTGTGGCACTGACGTTCAACCAGGTACGTCGTAATAGCTAAGCTAAATGTGACCTCTAACCAAGGTATTCTGGAGACCACTACCTTATGAAAGTTTGAGTCGAAAGCTGTTCTGAGTTCACGAGAAACTTCGTAGGCGGATATGTCTCAGTAAGTGCTGCAGGAGAAAAGAGGGTAACGTAGAGATATATCTTCTTAATAGATCAACGATGGAATGCTTGACTCTAAGCAAATTGAAAATGCTTCCGCCTTACGGAGAGATGGTTTTTGTAGGCTGCGGAAGCGACCAGATAGAGAGACTGAGTCTCGTAACGATCTTGCCTCCTTCGAAAAGCTGCTGAGACTTCTGTCGGATGAAAAGGAGAAGTACGGGACGGTCCCAGTGGAGAAGATTTTCGTTCACCTGATGAAGGAATACTCGACGCCACGAGCTCGCAGAACACTTCTCTATAGCAGTAAGCTCTTCTGGCTCAACGTAAGATCCTGGCTTATTTCAATATATGCCGCCGCTACAGAAGATTAGACGCGGGAAATTATACAATATACTGGATGCATACTACGTTTCGCGCATCTAGAAGTCCTTTCCACTAATGCAAAAGATGCAGCTCTACAGTAATGAGAATACGTAAGAGGTAAATGGATCCTTGTACACAGTAGTAAAAATGATGTAATGCGAGTGACAAACTTTACATCTCCAGCAAGCCGTGCCGGGATTATTTTGAATTTCTAAGATAGTTTGATGTTGGAAGTCAGAGGCAAATATGAAAAAGCCGGCTTGAACTGCGGTAAAGATATGTGCATTCACTCAGGCCTTGGGTCTTTTGGTGATACGACATATCAGGTCGGTTTGCTTGACAAACCAATTATCGATCAATGTCCAATCCTTGTTCTGGTCCGAGAGTTCAACTTTGAAGTAGCGTAGAATCTGTGGCACAAGCTTCGACATTTCCAGTAAGGAGACGTTTTTACCCAGACAAGTTCGTGCACCCGATCCGAACTGTAGTTGGGAAGGTTAACAGCCATGCCTTCACCATCCAGCGGGAACACTTACGGCCATAAAGTTTCTTTCCATCAATCTCATTGAGGCGGGATCAGCTTCGAGCCATCTTTCAGGCCGATACTCTTCGGCGTCTGCGCCGTACACACTTTTATCCCTGCTAACTACCCATGGGTTCACACCCACTATAGTACCTTGTGGGAACCACACTCCAGAGATAGTGGCGCCGTCTTGTGGTACTACTCGCTCAAGAAGTTGGCCAACTGCTGGGTGCATTCGCATGGCTTCTTTCATACAAGCTTGGAGATACTTCATCTTGTTCGCCTCTGCGAATGTGATTGAGTCTGAGAGTTGGCCGGAGGTTTCCATGTCATCGATCTCTTTCATTATGGCATCGTAACAACGAGGATTCTTGCAAATATAGTAGAACATAGAGCGCAGCGAGATAGCCGTAGTATCACTTCCGGCAAAACTGTGTTGTGTTTTAGTATTGTCACAGCAGACGGACGAGACACTCACATATTACTTGTGGCGTGGCTGAGAAGCTCTTTGTCTGTCATGGCCTCCTCGTCGTCTCGGGAGCGCCTGAATCGAGCCAGCATGTCGCGGAGCTGGTCACTTGACTTGTCTGTTGACTTGTATCTCTCAAGCTGTTTCGCGGCAAACCCGGCAATATAGCCAGCTGAATTGAGTCGCGCAAGGGCCGGGATGAGGTTTGCAATACGGGCAACGACCGGGTTCCCGAGGAGGTATTTGTGCAGGCACGGTACTTCTCCAATCACCGAATTATATGCGAGGCGACCCTCGATAGCGTTGATGATTCCGGCAACATCTTTTTCTTCCTCCATGAATCCAAGCCTATTAGAGAAGGTGATGGATGTGATCACGTCGAAGGCGTACCACTGTAGCCATTCACCGAGATCAATGTCCTTACCTTGCATATCGTTGAGCTTGTTTTGCAGAATTTCGATACAGGTATCCGTCATAGGTTCGAGCTCCACAAGAGAGCTCATGGAGAAAGCACTCGCGACCGGACGTTTGAGTGCTTTATGTGCGCTCTCTTCACGGATGGAAAACACCGTAGGAATGTTGCCAGCTTCCCCTTTCACGTCGAAAAGTGTATAGAAATCGCTCTACAAGTTGTTAGCTGTCTTTCCCAGACTTCAACGTGCTGGACAAACCTTATAGAACTTCGTCGTGATACCATAGATTTGGGTGATGACATCGGCATTGGAAAACGATACGTGGTTTGGGCCAACCCTAACCAAAGGTCCATATTTTTCGTGGTATTTGATATGTGCCAAGAATTGTTTGCCGGAAAGAGATGTGAAGATCCTATCAAATGGCAAGATGCTTGCGAGAAAAGGACCGGGTATTTCTCTGAGGCCAGTCCGATATCTTCGTTGGACAAAGATTGCCAGCAAGATCGAGGCACCTATTGCAAGAATGGGCCACCTCCGTTGTAGGGCAACTTGGACGAGGCTTGGGATGTGCAACATCGTGAATGTTTGACGACTACCTTTCTTGAAGCGATTTCTGGACTAAGTCTGTATTTGCAGTTTTTGCATCCTGGAAGGAGTGACATAGAAACACCCGGGCTTCCGTCCCTTTGTTGTCCCAGCGTGGAGAGGCGTGTTGGAGTGGGGAGATGGCGGTTCCACATTTGGGGGGGACGACGGGATCCACAATGAAAACTCTTGCACTCTGTACGAAGTTCCGGGAATGGCTTGAATGATGCGAACGGAGACAAGACATTATTGAGCGTCGCCGCGAGCACACAAGTTGGCGGAATTCCGATCTTTCCCCGCTCTGTAGCTCGGCATACCATACGGATAAGTTCCTTTGAATCCACCTCCACAACGTTGCCTGGTGGCGGTTGATTCGCTCGCCTACCTCGGGCTCTTTACAGTACTCACTGCTATTTGCAACAATCTACTATTATGATTCGCAGTTTTATGCCTTGGGACCACAGCCTCAGCGTGACTCAAGATGGCGAGCCCTGGTAATTAAGGGTCTGGGAAAGTATAATCTGTATCTCGTGTGAGACTAGGATCGCAGGGTCCTGTGTTCCAAGTGAGACAATGAAGGCCAGCAAGTAAAGTGAATATGCCAAAGGCTCATGCTTCCGAGGTTGGCCCCTTATCTGTCACTTCTGTTGTTCACAGCAGCTCCATGCTTGCCGAAAATGTCAATTGTGATTGTATCATCTGAAGCTTCTGAATATACTCCGCTGCAGTTCTTGGAGTGCCATATGCTTTCGCAGGTGGCCAGTTCCACTTCAAGGTCCAGTAGGGAAAGGGATTGAACATTTCCCTGGAAGATGCTGCTCGCCGCATCCTGGCCAAACAAGCAAGACACGATCCTGTCGCACGATCAACAATCAGCCAAGTACCAGCAATGATGAGGCTATCCTACCTATTACGCGACTCGCGTTCAATCCACCAGTGCCAGTCAAATAGCGCGTCCGTCAACGTTCTGTAGTCAGGAGGATCGGAGGGCTCAAATACTCCAGCTCTCTTAGCCACCTGTGACAGACTTAGATTGAACACAATGTAAGTAAGATCTTCAAACCAACGGAGATGCTTCGAGCAACACAGACAGGGACGAACTTGGCGATTGTCTCGTCTTGTGAGCAGGCCAGAATATGGCATGCCATCATATTGGCCTGTATTGTGGATAGTGGAGGCTGTTCCATCTTCAACTCGTGCTGGAAAGCATTTGTCAGAAGTCTTGGCGAAGACAGGCTATCATGATGAGACATACTGGCTGCTGTCTAATTTCAAGCAGGACAAACATGGCGACTGTGAAGAATTTTGGTTCATGACATGTTTTGCGTAGCTGGCGCCAACACAGAAGATAGCAAGCAAGAGGATCGGAGACCCAGTTGATGGACTCGATGTAGCAGCATGTAAGAATGGGAGAGTGCTTCTGAAAATACTTTCCATATAGCTGGAGGCAAACCAGGAGGTTCGCTCGTGTAACGTAGCGACGGCTCTCGCTTGATCGGAGCTGTTCAGGAGAAGTATTATTACGTTGCTCTTTGCTTCGAGCGGATCAATTTGTTCGAGAAAGAAGCAACCCAGAACTGTGGTCTTTGCGGAGACACCCTGAGTTGAACTTCCAAAAGCTGCCAATTGTCAGATTTCATAGTAAGCGCAATGAAGAGTCAAGGCCGGTTGGCTTACAAGAGTCAGGTAGTGAAGGTGCCAGCCCTCTTGGTACCGCGTCCGAGTATAACGGAAGGGGCACAGTCGCAGGACAAATGTCCGGCACTTCAGGTCATACTAAGCTTGTCTGCGAAGTGGCAGACACGTCAATCTGGCGGAAATTGTGGTTGCCCTGTAATTGATAGAAAGACTCAGGAATGGGGCTCATATCCATATCGAACCATTGCAACATAGTCTTGGCTGTGTAGATCTCATCGGACGGGCTTTGATGGCAATCAACCAACTTCGAAAATGTTGCCGCGTTTTGGGACGCGCTCTGGATGGTAAGGTCAGCGCATCCGACGCGTGGCATGACATGCGGTGTCGATGCAGACTCTGTAACGTGTTTCTCAGATGGATGAGTGTGGTCGGTATTGTGCGTAACGTCTGCAGCTGTTTCAAATACTTCCGACATAAGGTAGTGGTGGCGTTGATTTGCTCTTGCATACTCGCAGAGCAGTCCTTTCGTCACACAGCCCTTGCACGGATAATAGTAGGCGCATCTCGTCTTCTGCTTCGTACACCTGTCGCAAGCGGGCTTAGAAAATTTCCGTTTACCGGTTGGTGCAATACGTTTAGTTGGCTGGCCACTTGGAATTTCTCACTACATTGGCATATCAGTAGTCCGTGAGCAATAGCAAGACAATGGACTTCTGGCACATTCTCTTGAGAACGCTTGAGCACACGGACATACGAAGTGCTTTTTTCCTGTGTCTGCCACTATTCAGCGGAACTACTATCAACTTACGCACGGTGGAATGTAGCGTCAGATATGCCAGTCGGCTGAACGAAGAATCGCACCCGGAGCACTTGTGCGACTTTCTCGTGGCCGTTGTGGATGACTGATCTGGGACGACCGATGAAATGAAGGCGGACGCATCGGAAGACATGAGGTTGACGGTGCGGCGGTACAGAAGGTGACGATGCAGCGTTTCGCTTACATGAGTACTGCTGTGGAGGGTGGGGGTGGTCGGGTCCAGATTTGGACAAGGTTTACTTCGGCCAGCGGTTTCAGGGTGCGACAGTGCTTGGTGAAAGAGCCAGGGACACACACAGTACGAGCTCCTGGGAATTGGGGGGGGGAGAAGCTCACTGCCGTGTTGGAGTGGCGTCGCCACCGTTGTTTGTATTGCCTACAAAAATCGGGCGGGGAACAGGGCCTGAGGCATCGAGCAGGCGGGCGTCAAGCAGAACACACCTCTCGAAGTCCCAACTAGGTAGTTTTCGCCTTGCAGGGCGATGTCAGTGCGGTGAGCCTTAGTGCCCAGCAGCATTGTGGGATTGGAAAGAAATGGTGGCAAGGCTGCTTGCTACCTGCAGTTCGACCCCGTCAAACTACCCGAGCTGTCCCCGGCCAATGGGTGGCCGGCCCAGAACTCTCCCCCATGTCGAAGGTTTGATATTCGGGATCCCCAAGCACAGCCCGCAATTACGTGATAGATCGGGTCTCCAGCGGGCCCGTGGTGGCCATGGGTTAGAACCCTACCAAACCCAACCTCGCTGGCTCTTCTCCATATCCAATAGTCCGGGGCCCGGCAAGGCCGGTCTTGTCGCCTTGCCCGTACTCTGTATCTAGCTCGGCAGTCTGGTGCAGTATGAATTCGGTTAGCACACTGCATCTTAGGGCAACCGGGTGCCGGAACGAGAACTAATACTTTCGGAAGTCCGGTCAACTGCTCCCTAACAGAGTAACAATGACTTCTCTTGAGATCGATACGTCGGTCCTGATTGGCGCCAAAGGAAAAGGCTTCCTCTTGACTCCGTAATGTTATACACGAGCCTTGCGACTGCCGCTGGACCCTCTAATAGGAATTGCAAATTCCAAAGTGTGATGTCAAGTCGTGGGCGAGCTAGCTTGGCCTGTTGAGACGGCCATTCGGGAATTTGGACACCCCGATATCGTCCTAGCCAACGCTGGTTCAACCTTCGAACCTTCTTGATCCAGGTCCAGAGCGATCCTGCGGGTTTCAACTCGACTCAAATTCACACCCTTTCTGAGGTAATCCCACAGGGGACAGGCTATTTTCTACGCGTCAAGTCCTCTTTGCCCGTCGGTTTAGTCTTAACATCCAGCTGACCTCCAATCAAGTAGAGGTATACACAATCCAGAATTGTACTCGAGTACTTCTGGCTCGAAGGTGCCGCGCCGCAACGATCTGAAATAGGATCGGCGAAGCACCTAGCTTTTAACAACACTATAACTGACCATTGGAGATGGATTGAAAAGAGATGGCGGTTGTTCACCAGCCTCAGTCCGCTATGACGATACATGCTCACCATGAAAGCAGCTCTATCTTTCCAAGTCACTGGCGTCCACCCAGTTCCCATGAAGACCGGCTCTCAGGCGAATCGGAAGATAGATCTTCGCCAATGGCTTGCTGAAATCCCCAGTATCCACAAGATGTAACTCCGAAGACATGGACTCATAGTTGTTCACCAAGAAAAGTAGGTAGCCATCCCCCTCGTTCGCGTCCTTAGATTTAGTGATGAAAACGGTCTCCTGTACCAAGTGTGTTGCACCTGGGAAGTACCTGTCGAATTGTCGTGTTTTCACATTCAGCCTAGCGATTGAATTGTAGGGAGGAAAGCCGCCACCCATCCTTGACCCGACCGTCGGCCAGTCTGTCGGGAGAGTGTAATCCTTGAGACTGAAGAATGCATAAGTATACTCCCGCATGAGGTACCTGTCGTCAATCCGGGGAAACTCGCAATCTTCTTGAAGCAGAGCTTCGGCTGGGGCCAGATTAAGACTATCCGCCGTTGGGTCGATCTTGAAGCGGAACATATGGGCGGTGATTGCATGCGGGTCTGGGGCATTACCATGCGCGTCTGGCCACCAGAAAAAGACATTCTTGTCACTCACTGGGAGATCCATGATGATCTTCCCATCTTGCTCATATGCGTTGCAAATGTGGCCAGGAAAGGCATTCGGAGCGCGAAACCACTTTTTGGAATTAGACAAGTCGAATTGAACACTAGGAGCAAGCTTCTCACTTTGACATCGGATCCCTTCGCCCTACGCCGTGGCAGTACTCCAATATAAAATGGAATATCCGGGTTCCATTGCCAATGTTCTCCCCCGCTTTCCATTCGATCGAGATCACACGTCTGTGGTATGAGGGGGAATATGACCTGTTCGCGTTATGTTAACGGCCACATTGGAAGAGACGCATTCGCTGTTATCACAAACCCAATTCTCCGTCACTGCGAAATCGTGAATCATGGCAACCACTGGGCTGACCAGCCACACAGTTTCATTAAACTTCCTCGATGGGGAAACTGAGAAATAGCAGATATCGGGTGTCCCATCACCCTTAGCTTCATATCCGAAACAGATTAATTCTTTCGTGGCAGGATCCAGCTTTGGGTGAGCAGTGAAAGTCAGACTCGGTAATTGCCCATCGAAGTCGTAGAGTCCGATTGTTTCAAGAGTGTTTGGATCAAGCGCATACGGAGGCGAATCTTCTTTGCAGGCTAGTAAATTGCCGTTGAAATAGACGACATTGGTGTTGGCCGTACTTCGAACTTTGAACTCAACGGCGTCGGTGTACTTATTTCTGTACTTGCCTTGGGTCTAAGCGTCAGTATCACAGACACATCGCTCGTAGAGAGTATAACGGTGTTCTCATTGATACAAGGGGAAGCGTACCGAGTAATGCTCGCTGCGCCTCACGTTCTTTGACGAATTTCTCAGTGCGAACGTAGCGTTGTTTGAAATGCACTCTGCCTGATTCGATTCGGAAAGAGCTGATATTGCCATCGCCATTGAACCACTGCCAAAAAAAAGAGGCTCCCGTCAGTCACGGTGCACCATGTCGATATGTGAGAAGTTCATACCGGATCATTTTCCACTCGCGGAGGTAGCTGTGGATCGGGCATTACTCGATAAAATGTTCCACGCACTTCTGGCGGAATCGTCCCAATGACCTCCAGATTCAAGGTTTCTCCTTCGAATCGACATGGTTTCATAAATTGCGAGAATTGCGGAAGAGGAGGGAAAGCCAGGGACCGTGCCATGTCTTCGAATCGATTCTTGACTTGCTAGAACTCGAGTTGTCGGTCTTCTTAGTTTCACGGTGTAGCATAAGAGTAAAATCAGAATCAAACTTGTCCATGAACAATTAGCATACCCCATGAATAATCAGTTCAAGTCACGGCTCTTAGACGCGGCATGTGAACGAATGGTCGGTACAGAGATGCGGGGGCCATTAGTGGCTTCGATTTTGTTTGTGCCAATTTCGCCCTCCAGATTTTCCGAGAACGTGCTGTGAATGCTACAGTCGATGCCTCCCCGGTACTGCCGCTCGATTCTCGCGGGCGTACACTCCACTAATGTCAAGGCTTCTCATTTGTGGAGTGCGGAGTCGTTCTGGCCCAACCTTCGACTTGGTCCTTGTAGTTGACCTATCGTATCACATACAATTACCAAGTCTCCTCCACAATCCTAGATACTGCCTGCTTGACATGCACAAGCCTCGGATCGAGCACTGCTCCGACGATGGCTTGGCTGACTTCCAATGATCGACCACGACTACGTACAAGTATCATGCGACAGTGAACTCCTTTCCCTTCAGCACTTCCCCCAGATTATCGGCTGCTGGGTTTTGCTGCAGAACGGAGCCTCGAAGGTATTGTAGCCATTTGTTCACCGTGTAAGCAATTTGCACACCATGGCGAGCCAATTCTTGCTGCTCGGCAACTTTGTCGGGCTTTGGATATTATGGAAGTTAGCTGAAGCCATCTACAATGCTTTCTTGTATCCATTGCGCAAATTTCCAGGACCTTTCGAAGCACGACTAAGTCGCTGGTGGCTTTTCCGGCAGGAGACGCAGGGGTTTTCTCACCTAATTCTCGAAGAACTACACGAGCGTCACGGCATGTGCAAGACTATGTGCATCATCTATTAGCAAATTCTAACAAGGTTTAGGCAAGGTTGTGAGGATCGCACCTAACGAACTGTCCATCAAAGCTGTGGATGCCAGTGCCGTCATCTATGGTCAAGGATCCAAATTCCGCAAGGCCCCATACTTCTACAGAGCCTTTGAAACGGAGTCTTCGAACCTCTTCACTATGACAGAGAGAAGCACATCTCAAGGACAAGAAGTTGATGTCTAACGCTTTCTCTCGCGCAAGCATTTTGAACTTCGAGGAGGTGATGGCGTCCAAAGGACAGACTTTGATGGTCCGCTTGCATCAATACGTCGAGGCCAACAAGCCACTTCCTCTGATGAACGCCTTTCGCTGCTTGACCCTAGACACAATCACGAAATTCTGCTACGGAGAACCCATGGGGGCATTACAGGCCGAGAACCTTGATATTCCGCTATTCGAATCTTTTGATCTTGCAACAAAGGCCATCATATTCGTCGGTTATACCCTCTTTCCCCTCAGAAGGACTCCGGTTTGACGGTGACTGTCCTCGTAGTTCCAACACTTCCCCTTTATACGCCAGTTGACTCGTTGGGCCCAAAAATATAACTTGCCCGGGACTCTCAAAGGGTTTAAGGGTATGGACGAAGTCAGTGTCAAATACCAAAGTGCCCAGTCGGATGAAAATGGCTCAAAGACTTATGGTAACAGGCAGCTGTTGCAGGCGTGCGTTCAATCAAGGCGCGACGAAAAAGTGGCGTAGAAGCTCGAACGCTGTTTCAGGGTATGCTCTTCTCCGCCGAAGAAAAGGGTATCCACTTAAGCGACGATCATCTGGTATCCGAGGCCATTTTGATGAACTTTGCCGGTAAGAATGACTTTGTCCTACTTATCATCGAATTGTAGCCAAGCAGAGGCTAACTTGGCTCGATCCAGGCACCGACACGACTGCATCAACCTTGGCTTTTGGCCTTCATAGCCTTATCAGACGACCAGACCTGTATCACAAACTCCAAGGTGAGCTGTTGAAAATGCAACATGCAAATGGGGGGAAGAGATTGACGTATATCCAACTCGAAGGCAATGAGTTGTTGGACGCGTGCTTGAAAGAAGCCCTTCGAATAACATGCCCCGTCAGCGGAAGGCTACCACGTACAGTGCCCACTGACGGTTGGAACTATGAAGGTCACTTTATCCCAGCAGGGGTAAGTAACCACGAAAGGAGCCCCTTTTGCTTGCTGACTTGTACACCAGAGCGTTGTCGCTTCCTCTCCGTACTTTGAATGTTACGACAAGGAGGTGTTTCCAGACCCTAAAGAATATCGACCTGAGAGATGGCTCGTTGAGGACACGACAGAATTGCAGAAGCACTTTCATCCATTTTCACGAGGCGCCCGATCCTGTATCGGTCAAAAGTAAGTGTTCCTGATTCTAGTCCGGCCCCGAGCCCTGTTCTCGCATCCAGAATCCCTAACAATTTATAGTCTTTCTGTTGTCGAACAGAGACTTGCTTTTGCCTATTTCGTTCTCAACTTCTCCCTAACTCGGTTGTCGATCCTACCCGGTTTTTAAGCAGTTCAACACCCTCATAAGTCAGTCCGACCTCAGCGTGTTCGTGAATTTGAGTAGCCCCTAGCATGCAGTGTTGGTCCACGTGGGGCTTGAAAAGCACTGGAACTGATAGCCGTTTCGAACATTGTGTCTTCTATCACATGCAATAGGTACGAGAGATGGTTAATGGATGTCATCCAAGCCACCATGCAGCTTCTGCTCGAACGTCTCTGAAGCCGTCAGAGTTTCTTGAACTTGACGATGACCCTGGCGGTTCGTTGTGAATAATCTTTTGTCATTGCAAGGTTCCCCAACGGCCCAGCAGCTGCCGGGCTTGTCGTAGGTCTTTGGATTTAGGTGGCAGCATTTGCCAATCATTGATGATCCTCTGCAAATTGCGAGCTTTGACCTGGAAGGAGGAAACAGACAACCTCGTGCTAGTCTTCACGAACTGGTTGGTCTATTCTGTAGACATGTCTCGAACCTACAGAGTGATCGTGCCACCAAAACCCTGTCGCAAAGTGTCGTGGGTTAAAGAAGTAAGGGAGAAGGCTCCATGTGAGCGATGACAAGAGCATCTGCAACCGGCCCTGGTGGAAACCAGCATTAAGGAAATCAATGAGTAAGGCGGTCACTGAGGAGTTCGGGTGTAACGACCCCTCATTTCCCCGGAGAAGAAGGCAGAGGTATGGCCTGGTCACATTCCAAGCTGTGACGCGTCCTTTCCATCTTCACTCATGCTCCGTAGAATCACGCAAGGTATACAACTTTCGTCGATTCTTAGTATCCAATACGCCAGTGGAGACACGTTCGGCTGGACCTGTGGGAATAGAACAAATGAAGTGATGGCGATTTGTACAGGCCGTGCTATTGGGAGTGAGTTCGTCGCTATCGGGGATGATACTGGGACGCTCGTCAACGGATTCGTCGTTGTCTAACACGATTAGGTTGTTCGGAAGGATATATTGGTAGGTGAAAATCGTACTCGGCCGGAACTATAATATTTCAATATTCCTGGATGCTTTTATAGTAGAATTTATACTAGAAGACCAGAAGAGAATAATGAAAATCTCGGCATCTAAATGCGCCGAAAATAGACTGCTAGAGACGTTCATATGGCCATTTCACCTATAGCTCTAACGGCAAAGGTGGAGAAGTGTTTTGTCGCCTTTGGTATTGTACAACACATGCTCCATACTTGTATCGTTTGCTAAGCACTTATCTTTAGGTATCTAGACCTATTCTTAAGTCTTAGATGTTGCCGGGAGCAGTCAGTAAGTGACCTTGACGCGTCTCCCACCCATGCCTTCTCCCAAGCCAATATCTTACGCTGCTTTGTTTGAAAGGTCGTGGTGATGTTGCTTAGCATGAAGATCCTCGACGGGCGCATCGACATGATAATTCATTGTCTTACGCATGTCACCCAAGAACAGACAGCCAACACAAGCCAAAGCACCAAAGGGCACTGCAATAATGAATACAACCCTCAAAGAATCAGCGAAAGCCTGCTTCAGTGCCACCACCCCTTGCGCAATTATTGACGGGGATACTCCCGGAATGTTCGCAAGTTTCGCTGTCTCACCAGATGCAAGGCCTTCAACAAAAGCTGGAATGGACGCAGCAGGAAGGCCCGCCGCGCCAGCTGCTTTTGCGACGTACGCAGGAAGTTTGGATGCAAGGTCTGCGTCGAAGGCTGCAGCATAGATGGCGGTAAATACTGCTGCAGCAATTGCTCTAGATGAGGTAGTGACAGCCGTTGCGGTAGCGATCAGTCCGTGTGGAGTTGACAGCTGAACGCCAGCGACGATAAGAATGAGCGGAGAGCCATAACCGATGCCGGAAAGACCAGCGAATACGAGCTGATTTGTTGATTGATTTGGTTGGATGGTAGCAAGGCCGACCGTACCAGCGGTGTACAGTAAAAAGCCGAGGAACAGGGGTTCGCGAACCATTTGCAGTCTGGTACTACTGTAACCCCACACTATGGTTGCGAGCAGACCGGCAACCCAGTATGGCATAGCACGGGCAACCACAAGGAATGGGTCAGTCTCGAAGATTGAGGAGCTCCTATTAAGTGATTAGTGTGTTTCTTTAGGATCGCTGGTAAAAGTTCAGACTTACATGACTGGGTAAAAGATGATGAAGGCGAAGAGCAGGACACCTTCGATGAAGATAAGGCCTACCAAAATTGCGAATGTTCGGCCTTTAGCTTTTCCGCCTCGAAACAGATCATGGTGTAGAATACCGGTCTTAGTACCTTTCCATTCATAGACGCCGAACGCAATAATGACGACAATACCAACAATCAAAGTCGACAAGGTATGAGCGTTTGTCCAGGTATATAGACCGCCACCTAGATTTACCCCTACCAGGAACAGTGTTAACCCGCTGGTAAGTAGTGCAAAGCCTGGCAGGTCGAGATGGCCGAGCTTCTGCCAGAGGGACAAATGCTCAAACCTCGTATGTCTCTTGGGCGGTCTGTAGCCAACGAAGATGCCAATAGCCGTTGCTCCCCAGAGAGCCATCTGGAACCAGTAAAACTTACGCCAGCCATCTGCCACGTTGGACTTTGTAAAAGCACCTATGATCAAGGGACTTGCAATAGCACCAAAGCTTGCTGTGACATTGATGCAAGCCTGCGCCATAGGCCTCCACTTGCGGGGAAGGATTTCGCTAGGCACACAATATCCAAGGGGGACGGATGCGAAGCCCACTCCGATCAGAGTTTGTGCAACGATGAGTCGGTATATATTGCCAGATCCTGGTGCGATTGCAGAGCCGATGAAAGAAACGACACAAGAGCCAACGAGAAGTGGTTTCCGCGCTTGGAAAGTATCCGAAGCCGAGGCGATAACGGGGCCCAGGACAGCTTGCATCAGAGTAAGTGCATTTGGCACCCAGGTCTGTTGTTTTGTACCGTTGAGGTCAGTGCCGATGTAAGAGAGCTGGTAGCAAGTCAGTTGGCGATGTGTCTCCCAGAGAAGTGAACGACAGAAATCTCACTCACAACTGCAGGAGGGCCTTGAAGAGCAACAAGCTGAACCATGCTTAGCATGCACATGGCAGCCAAAGCGACCCAGGTTCGCATATGAATCTCTGGCTCCTCAAAATCATCATCATATACGAGGTTGTTCTGCGAAATGGGAGCTTCCTCTAGGTGTTGTCCTTTGATTGAAACTGCCGTCTTCTCGTCGTTGGTTGATTGTGGCTCTGGCGCGACACCTGGCGCTGTGTAGCCGACAATGTCGTCTTCTGCATGATGAGAATCCATCCGTGGTCGCTCTTCGCTGCATTGACTGGAACTTGCTTTCCGGACTTGAGATCATACTCCGTTGCAGTTGATTAGCTCTGACCTGGTTTTTCTATCTCAACCGTGCTTTAGCGCCCGGGTGTAGTTCGTGTATAATTCGGCCCCCCTGGCCAGCTCCACGTTCCCCGTCCGACGTGTTTTTAAGTGGAACATAGTTTTGGCGGAGAGACACATCTGGGGTGAACAAAGGATCGCGAGTCGATAAGTTTCTGAGGGACTTTGGGCTTATT